TAAACAGCAACATGGTGGTATGGGGCCGGAAAATTAAAGGAATGGCTCGCCGGGAAATCCCCGAGCTAGTCATGGATATATTCCCAGCAAACCGTGTGAGTGATTACCAGCGGGTATTTGTGTACATACTGGCAGTAGCTGTGAGTGGCTGTTGATCCGCCGCTGCTCAAGTCAATGAGTTGGGTAGCCTTTCTTGCTCAGGCTGGGTCCCTAACTAAGGAGGCAGTCTCCACCAATTTCTGGGGGCTGGGGTGTCCTCACTACTGTGGCAGCAACAGCTTCACAGGTCTTGCCACTTCGTTTCTTCTTGGTTTTCTCAGTGGACTTTTGACCCTCATTCTCCTGTGGATTTGGATTTCCCTTTCCTTCTCTGGCTCTCCGGCCACTCTTCCACCAGTGCCATCTCCCGTCCTGACCATTGCTGATAGGGCCCGGAGGAGGTTGCAGGGCTATCGAGCGGTGGTGGATGAGTGAAGGGCCCTCGGACCTGACCAGTTTGGTTCAGGCCTTGAACAGATTATCAATTGCCATTGAGGCAGGGAATCGTAACCATTCTCAGTCAGAGGAGTGGGAGGTCATCAGTGGGGAAGACCCACCCCCAGAGGGCCCAGCGCGTCCTCAAGAAAGCGCTTTGGGGTCAGTGGCATACAACGACTACGAGGGCTTTGCTGAGCTTCTTCCTCCTTGTCCTGAGCGCTACATTGGGCTTTGCAGTCGTCTCAAGGGGGGCGGCTACAGCTCCGTGTATCGAGCAAAGCGTGCGTGGGAAGCCGGCTATTGGGCTTCTTTGTGCTGGAAGGGACGGATCAAGGTCCCCAGGGCCACACTGCCTTTTGACCTCAAGCCTGCAGTGTACATCATTGTGCGGTCCCCAGGGTTGGAATCACCGACGCGAGTTTCAAGGGCGTCAGATTTGGCCAGGATCACAGGGAGATTCAGTGAGAGCACCATCTGTCACGGATTTGCATCCCTTGCAGAGGCGGAGACCTATTGTGCTGGCTTGGGCATTGAGTTACCATGTCAATACCAGTTTCAGTAGACTTGTCAGTTGCAGGAGACCCTGGAGTTCCAGTCAGGGTATTGTTTCAATGGCCGCCAGGAGAGACGGTCCTGGTGAATTCACTACAAGCATGGGTCATTATGAGGCGAGAGGGTGGCGTTCTTCTCGCACTTCCAGATGGACATTTAGACGAAGAATCTTTGGCGGAGCACGCCGAGCTGACCTCGGACGGATCGGAGCCTTTGGCAGGACCACATGTTTCCTTCACTGTTCCTCTTTTGACTATGGGGGATACAGGAGTTTTGGAACCTGCTGGAGAAGACATCAGCGTCATGGTGGTAGATATGAATGTTCCTCTTGTGTATGGCCTGGTGCTGCCATATCCAGAGGAGGGACAGGAGGAGGACCTTGTGACGCTTTTTCGAGTGGCAGATCCAAAAGCACGGCCAGACTTCTCCGAGCTCATGCCAAGAGTCAAAGCATGGGTCGATGCAGAGATGTTCGAGCGCACGGGCTACTACTCAGCTCGCGAAGAGGAGGACCTGGCACCAGCATCGCCAAAGGCAACAACCAAAGCAAAGCCATCAGCACCTGGTTCTACCGTGCCCGCAAGAGCTCCCGCTGGGGCAAAGCCGGGGCCCAAAAAGCATACAGTGGCCTCGCTGGCACAGCAAGTGGAATTGCTGATGGGGTCCCTTCCTGCCATCACGGATCAGTTAGCAAAACTGGCTGCACAGCAAGAACGGCAAACACAGCAGGGAGTGCAGGAGCCTGCAGATCGGGCTTTTCTGCCTGTCATGGGTGGGAAAGCCTCAATGCCGATTTCTGCCATGTTGACCCCCGGCAAGAAAGCAGACCTTTCAGGCCTGGCAAAGATGATGGGTCCCCCACCGCCTGCGAGGGCATCTGCAGCTCCGGCCGCGCCTTTGGGCCAGAAGCAGTTTTTGGAAGAGGACGAGCCTCCGGATCCTATGAATCCGCCCGAGGACATGGAACAGTTGGGATCTCCAATGGCGCAGGCGTTGTTACAACAGTCAAAGGCCTTGCAGACCCTCATGATGCATTTTCATGCCTCAGGTTCAGACCCCATGTCCGACCTTTCCTCTTCAACTCCCACAACGGGCGTCAAGGGCACAATGGCAAGAGAAAAGTTGCAGAGGGATCTTTCAGCTGGGAACGGTTTGTTTTTCCTCAAGGTTTGCCAGCAGATACAGAGGCGCATGTCACCTACGGCCAAGCCACCTTCAGCGCTTTCAGAAATTTCAGGCGTCTCGTTGTTGGCCTACCTGGAGAGATACGGAGGCTACGGCCAAAATCGAGAGCTTGGTATGATAATGTGGTCCATCGCTCACGTCTTCGATGCAATGGCCGCGGGAGAGTCGGGCCTCGCTATGGACCACTTGGCCCTCACAACGGTCATGGTCGAACAGGCCAGTTTGGACTCAAACAAGTGGAACTTGGCGTGGTTGATCAGGTTGCTGGACGATCCACCTCAGAACTTGTGGATCAATCGGGGGCAGTCTGCCACCGGCCAGCGGAGGCCTTTTGCACCTCTGAGCGTCCCAGCATGGAACACTGTGGCTTTGGCCTTCCTCAAAGAGGCCGAGATCCTCCAGGGCAAGCGCACAGAGCTTTTGGGAAAGGGCCCAACAAACAACGACGAGCAGCCGGCAGCGAAGCCTCAGCCAAAGCGAAGGCCAGGGAGAGGAAAGGGAGCACCGGCCCAGAATCAGCAGGCCGACGATGCGAAGTGATCCTGGTGGCTGCAACTGAAGGCGGCGGAGGTTCAAGTCCAAGTGACCGCTGTTACTGTAAGTTGCCTAAGTCGCAGCCACCAGGATCAGCTTGTCGCCGCTCCGCCTTGTCAAGTGGGGTGCTAGATCTCCCGGAGGCTACAGCTCCAATGCAGTCTTTTTCTTCTCATGGAAACCCAACAAGGTCCAGCCCTGTTTTGTCACGTGCTGATGGGTTCATGGAAGTTGACAATGCAAAGAATTCAGCTGACATGCAGAAACAAGTTTTGTATGGCAGCAAGCCAGATGAATTTGACGCAGGAACAGCTAATGTGCCGAAGGCGGAGGAGGACATCGATAAGATCTCCTTTTCATTTGTTTCCTGGTGCATGTCATTGACAAGAAAGGTGATGCAGTGCCGCACAGCTTTTGGGCATTTCCTTTCACAGACGCTCCACCTTCCAAGGGATGGGCCTACCGCCCCCCCAACCGCTCTCTTCCCGCTGCCTGTCCCCAATGAGTGGCCTTTGTCAGCGGGCCCCAACAGATCAAGAAGCACAGTTTCAAAGCATGAGGCAGTTTCAAGGGCTCTTCATGTTGTGGTCATGGCCTTGAACAACGTTTATTGGTCCAGAGCCACCCCCTCTCTTGATTTGTTGCGGAGGCAGCCGAATCAGATCCAGGCAGATGCCCTTTCTGAACTGAGGCTGTTGATAGAGTCGTGTGACCGCTGCAAGCGCATTGAAGTGGCGGCAAGTGGTCGTAAGAATTTGCAGCTAATGGCCAGACTCAAAGATTTGGCATTGGCTGCAGAAGCTTTGGGCCTCAGTTGCTCACCATATTCTGAGGTTCGCACAGATGTTCAGGTTGGAATCAACAACGAGGGCTTCCCGCAGTTGCAGCCTTTTTCAAACTTGAAGCCCGAGAGGTTGAAGATCACTGGGAGGGGTCAATGGGATGCTTCCTCTTTCATTGAGCCTGAGCTTTACATGGCATTTATGGAGCCACAGGTGATTGAGCTCGAATCACCAGTGTATGACAGAGGCCGACCCAATTTTTTGGCCGATGAACCTTCCACAGTTTTTGAGCTTTTCCGGAGGTGGGATGATTTGGGGCTTTTGGTTTTACATCCGCGTTCACATATCACAACAGGAGATGCAGCAAGGGTAAAAGTGTTCAATGCATTCAAGTCACTGCAGCATGACCGACAGATAGGTGATCGCAGAGAGAGAAACAGCTGGGAAGGCAGGATCCCAGGGCCATCGGCAGCGTTGCCGGTCAGCTCCCTGCTTTCACGCCTCGTGATTCCAGAGGGATGTGGTATCAAACTTTGCGTTGCAGATCGCTCAGACTATTACCATCAGTTGGCGGTTTCGTTTGAGCGTAGCAGAACAAATGCAGTTTGGCCCCCCATGCCGTTGGAGAAGTTTGTGGAGTTCAAAGCCTACAAAGCTTATGTTGCAAGAGCAGCATCTAGCAGGCGCCCTATAGACCGGACGGTCCATGGGGATCACCTCCATGGTCACAGACCTTCTGAGTGGCCTACGGCAGGAGATACTGAAGTTTGTGGCGCTTTTGGTGCAATTCTACAGGGTGATCATCTTGGCGTTGAATTTGGTATCTCAGCCCATGTTGGTTTGCTACAGTCGGCAGGGCTTCTTCCAGATGAGGGGCGTTTAGTTACAGATGCACTGGTCCGCCCACATGATGTATACCAAGGTTTGTGCATCGATGATTTCTTTGCGATCGCCCCTGTCCCTGCGGCTGATTTGGGTAGAACAGATGCCCCTCGAAGCCCTGCTTTTGAGGTTTTCCAGAAAGCGAAGCGATGCTATGCAAGTGCTGGTTTGCAAGGCTCCGATGCAAAGGATGTGATTGAATCTACGTGCGGAACGGCCGTAGGTGCCGAGTTGAACTCCAGCAAGAAGTTGGTAGACAAGGGCCTTTTGCCGGTTGCAGCCCCAGCTGAAAAAAGATTGGCTTTGTCATGGATTTCACTGCAAGCTGCTAGGCTCTCCTGCACTTCAGATGCGCTGCATCCTTCACTGGTGGGTGGTCTTGTGTCAACACTTTGCTTTAGGAGGTGTGGAATGGCATTGCTTGGAGAGGTGTTCAAGGTCATCCCTCCTGCAGAGCTCAAGCCGGAAAAACCCAAGCTGCGGCCCCTCTCGCGAAAGGCGGCAGACGAATTGGTTCTTTGTGCGGTTTTGCTGCCACTTATGTCCTCAAACATCAAGGCTCTTTTTCATCCATGGGTCTATGCTTCAGATGCTTCTATGCACAGAGGTGCGTACTGTGAGGCCAGGATTTGCCGCGACTTTGCCCACCCGTTGTGGTTGTCAGGAGATTTCAAAGGTGGTCATGCGGTCTTGGATTCATGGCAGAGGAGAGTTTTTGAGGATGCAGGTGTTGGTGAGGAGGAGGACTGGCTTGAGCTACAAGAAGAGGGCCCCGATGACCCTCTTACATGGAAGCCAAAGCCAGCCAGGCCTTTGGCTCAGCGTTTTGACTTTTTGGAAGTTTGTGGAGGCTCTGGTGTGATTTCAGATGAGGTTGCCAAGTATGGGCTGGTGGTTGGTCCAATCATTGACCTCAGCTACTCCTCCCAGTATGACCTCGTCAACCTGCGTGTAGTGGAATGGCTTCTCTTCATGATCCAAAACCGTCGGGTTCGAAGCCTAGCGTTGGAGCCACCCTGCACGACTTTCTCACCGGCCGCTCACCCTGCCTGTAGGTCATACAATATGCCAAGGGGCTGGAATCAGAAAGCACCAAAAGTTTGGTTGGGCAATAGATTGGCTTTCGCTTGCATGACCCTCCTTCTGGCAGCAGCCTATGCATGCGTGATAGCTCTCTTAGAAACACCCAGGCGCTCGAAGATGGCCTGGTTGAAGGAGTGGCAGTTTTTGCTTTCCCTTTGGAATGTGGAGGAGAACTACACGGCATCATGTTCATACGGCAGTCCTTTTCAGAAGGAATTTCGGTTTCTGACATGTAACATGAGAGCTTCGTCTATTTGCAAGCCATGCACAAGGGACCACAAGCATACGGTCATCCAAGGACAATTGACGAAGGGCAGTTCGGTGTACTGCCCGGGTTTGGCAAAGGCTTTGGCAAGACTTTTTGCGGTGCACTTAGATGCCGAGAGGCTTTTTGCAGAGAGGAGCGAGTTGCGGGCAACGGGCCTTGAGAGCCCCTTTGTCAATGAGCTTGCAAAGCGACATGAATGGTCGGTAGGCTCTTCCTGGAAGTGGACAGGCAGCTCGCACATCAATGTCCTCGAGCTGGCCAGTGCAGTGCAATCAACAAAAGCTGCAGCCCGGAGGGGAGGAGGACGGACCTGCCTACTTCTTGACTCCAATGTGGCAGTCCGAGCTTTGGCAAAGGGGCGCTCATCATCAAAAGCCTTATCTCCTCTCCTCCGAAAGGTCATGGCACTGTGTATGGCTTTTGGTATCATGCTGTCAATTCTGTTTGTGCCAGCCCGCCTGAATGTAGCAGATGACCCTACCAGGTCAAAAGAGCTCCGTGCAAGATTTGAAGGGCCATCTTTTTTGGACTCCTTGGATTGTGAAGGCCTTTTCAAATTTGCAGAAATGCCACCTCTCCGCCGATGGATTTCCAATTGGACTTCTCTCTTCCTTGGACTTTGCCTCCGTCACAATCTCAGACCCGGCACTCTGTCCATCCCCAGTCCCCGTCGTCGTTCATCCCTGCCACCTGTGGATTTTTATCAGTTCCTCTTGGATTTTGACTCAACACTTGGCTTTCCTGGTGAAGGACCCTCCCTGAGTATCCGTAGGCTCGTAGTTTTATGGATTTGGGGCGTTTTCATTTGCAGCCATGGCATGGTTCCAAGGAACAAAGATGATGAGCGTAGGGCTTTCAGTAGGACTTCAAAACCTCTGCAAACAGGTCGACCTGTTCAGGAAGTGACAAGATCGAATCGGCAGCGCTTACTGGAGATGTTTGGGCAATGGCTGGATGCTCAAGGGCTTGACTTGAGCAAATTGCTGAGGACTGCTTACACTGAACCAGAGGCAGTGGTCACTAAACTGGTAGAATATGGCCAGGCCTTGTATGCAGCAGGCAGGCCTTACAGTCACTACTCAGAGACGGTCAATGCGGTGTCGGCTGCAAAGCCAACAATACGCCGCATGCTCACAGGCGCGTGGGACTTTGCCTTCGCCTGGCTTCGAGAAGAGCCAGGCGAGCATCACCTGGCTTGCCCTTTCCAGGTGTTACTGGCGCTACTGAGTCTGGCCATTCTTTGGGGGTGGCCTCTGGTTGCTGGAGTGATTTCACTGAGTTGGGGTGCGGTGTGCCGAATTGGTGAGGTCCTACAAGCAATGCGAAAAGATTTGGTCTTGCCATCTGATGTGGGTGACACCATGCAGGCGGTTTTCTTACGAGTCCAGGAGCCCAAAACCAGGTTTCGAGCAGCACGGCATCAGATGACGAGGCTGGAATACTCAGATCTGGTTCTTCTCATTTCCAGCGCTTTTCGGGATGTGAAACCTCTTCAGCGACTTTGGCCTTACTCTGCACAGAATCTGTGAAACAAGTTTCGACATTTGCTGCGCGGTTTAGGCTTACCTAGTGAGCGAAGAGGTGATGAACGCTGTTTGGATTTGGGATCACTGCGAGCGGGGGGGGCCACGTTTTTGTTGATGCTGACAGAAGACTCAGAGCTTGTGCGTAGAAGGGGACGTTGGATGGCACACCGTACCATGGAAATATATCTCCAAGAAGTTGGGGCCGCTGTCTTTTTTCCTTCTTTGCAAAGTTGTGTGAAAGACCGTATCCTACGTTTGGCCACGGCTTTTCCTGAGTTGCTGCAACAAATACTTTTTCTGACGAAAGTGCAGATCCCTCCAACAGCGTGGTTTGTCCTTTTTCAAGCAGGCACAGATGGGAAGAATGGGCAAGAGTCCTGGGAGGACGGCCTAGGATCAGAAAGATCCAGAAGGCAGCAGAGCAAGAATCAAGGGAAGGTGGAGAAAAAAGGTGGCGAGCAGCTGGCAGTAGCTGTGAGTGGCTGTTGATCCGCCGCTGCTCAAGTCACCCAAACCCTCCCTCCCGGGGCAAGAGTCCTGGGAGGACGGCCTAGGATCAGAAAGATCCAGAAGGCAGCAGAGCAAGAATCAAGGGAAGGTGGAGAAAAAAGGTGGCGAGCAGCTATATAAGTATATATTTCTTGAATTACATGTATATATAAATATTTACGTATGCAAAGAGATATACAGTATATATATTTATATGTAGGTCTCCAAGGCCTGTCTAGGTTTTAATGCATCGTGGCCTCCAGGCCTGGCTGACAATCTTCGTTTCTGGTGTTTGCGTTCAGCAGACTTTCAGCAGAGCCTTGACGTTCGAATCAGGCGCTGGAGGGTTTTTGCGCCGTTTGCGAACTGGAATCATCAGCACTTTTGAAAGGTAATTCAGCTATGAAGGGGTACCCTCTGGTAATTTAACGTAGCTATTGAAAATGACCATTTATAGTGGATTTTCCCATTAAAAATGGTGATTTTCAATAGCTATGTTAGTTTACCAGAGGGTATATAATAAATCAACTAGAAATGGTAAATCAACTATCAATGGGGAAATAGACCATTGCCAATAGCTATGTTAGTTCACCCGAGGGTTGTTAGGAGGTTTATATGGCCATAATTATTCTGATAGATGGCAATGCACCAACAATAAATGGGATATCAATGGAATATCAATGGAATATGAGTGGGAGATTTAAACCATTAACGATCAATGGAATATGAATAAGAATGGAAAGATGAATGGAATATGAATGATATATATATACAGTATATATAATCAACAAACCAATGGTACCTACACATCCCAATCATATCAGAGAGCTCATTGCGGAAGTCGTTTCCTCGCTTGTTTCCGACTTCTATAGGAAATGTACATAAATATCAACATATCCCATAGATTATAATTTGATTTTTTAAAATAAACATCGGATTTATGGGAGTTAAAAACATATCCCATAATTTTCCCACTCTGGCTACTGGTGTCTGACTCTCTGGATTTCTCTTGTTACGATACTTGTCTCCGGGTTTTCCTTCATGTGTCTCCCGCTCTTAATGGTTTCCGGCTCTCCGGATGCCTCTCTTCATTGGTCTCTCTTTGTTTCTCTCCCAGTCTGGCTTTCGACAGCTAGTGGTGTCCGGCTCTCCAGATGTCTCTTCACTTGTCTCCCTTCATTTGTTTCCCGCTCTGGCCAGTGGTGTTTCCCAATCTGGCCAGTGTTGTCTGGCTCTTTGGGTGTCTCTCTTTACGTGTCTTCCTTCATGTGTCTCCCACTCTGGCTAGTGGCTGTCAGGATGTCTTCTCTTTCCATCTGTCTTCCGATTCATCTGTCTCCCAACTCATTTGTCTTCAATCATCAATCTGCCTTAGTGGTGGTGTCTGATTCTTTCGTCTATTCGTGCGTGTCTTCCATCATTCGTTTCTCACCATCTGTCTCCCACTTCATTCGTGTCACCATTCATATGTCTCCCCTAGCGGTGGTGTCCTGTTCTTGTTTCATCACGATTTCATTTGTGATTGGTCATTATCTCTGCTCTTTCTCCCTTTGTGTCTTCTTGTTGTCTCAGGAGTTACACCAGCATAGGCCCCAGATAGCAATAACATTAAAAAACAGTTGTTTGTGATTCATGCTGTTCTCAATTGAGATGGACTAAAAATTGCCAACATCAGGAGCTAGTATGAGCACAAGCATGCACGGGGTCTACTCCATATGTTTGTGATTCTTTTGTCACACATCTTATTCATTTCATACATGCATATCATTTTTTCAATTTTTATTCCCAACCCAGGAACCAGCCTAGAGTCTTTTGCAACGGCTTCCAAGTGGACTTGGTCACGTTGTGCGTACAGCTAGTTGAGCTAGCTACACTGGAGCAGGCAGTTGTTGGGGGACGGGAGTCCTTGCTTTTTTTGTTTGAAAAGCAATACCCTACATACAGACAGACAGACATACAGACATATAGACATACCGACATACAGACATACAAACATACACACACACACACTCACAGGCATATATACACACAAATACATACATAAATACGCATACGTACTTACATTCATAGATAGGTAGATAGATAGACAGATAGATACATAGATAGATATATAGATAGATAGATACTGTACATAGATACTGTACATAGATACTGTACATATATACTGTTCATAGATAGATACATAGATAAATGCATAGATAGATACACAAGTAGATTAGATAATATATGTATATAGATATATAGATAGATAGATAGATAGATAGGTAGATAGATAGATAGATAGATAGATAGATTAGATAGATAGATAGATAGATGGATAGATAGATAGATAGATAGATACATAGATGGATAGATAGATAGATAGGTAGGTCGGGAGGTAGGTAGATAGGTATAGATAGGTATATGCGTAGATACGTAGATACATAGATGCATAGATACATAGATACAAACATACATCCTTGCTTTCATGCATGCATGCATACATACATGCACACATACATACATACATGCATGCATGCATACATGCATGCATACATACATACATGCATGCATACATGCACACATACATACATACATACCATACAATACAATACCATACAATACAGTACAACACAATACAGTACAGTACAATACAATACAATACAATACATACAATACATACAATACATACACTACATACAATACATACAATGCATACATTATATACATTATATACATACAATACATACAATACATACAATACATACAATACATACAATACATACAATACATACAATTACATACATTACATACATACATACATACAATACATACAATACATACAATACATACATATGCATGCATGCATACATACATACATACATACATACATACATACATACATACACACATACACACATACACACATATTTACATTACATTACATACATACATAGATACATACATACATACATTACAATACATTACATTACAATACATTACATTACATTAGATTACATTACATTACATACATACATAGATACATACATACATGCATTACAATACAATACAATACATTACATTACATTACATTGCATTACATTACATTACATTAATACATACATACATACATGCATAGCATAGCATAGCATAGCATTACATTACACTACACTACACTACATTACATTACATTACATTACATACATGCATTCATACATACATACATACATCCTTGCGTTCATGCATGCATGCATGCATACCATACCGTACCATACCGTTGCATTCCATTCCATTCCATTCCATTCCATTACATTACATACAATATTTAATGTGGGGCCGCCCCATAGTTAGCCAAGTTGATTTTTACATCCAACAACTATGGTTTATGCTATCTACTATAGTAGTTCAATGGGGGTTTTAAACCAACTTATAACCCCGAAAAGGATAGGTTCCATTTATATCATTATTTTCGTTTTTTCCCGCCTTTCGGCGTCTTTTCCAGCGTTGCTATCCTATGAATCCCCTCCACTGAATATGAGATACCCCAAACAACTTTGGTTTAGTACTGGATCTATACATTTTTTGGGGCCATATGCGGGTATTTGATGTGATCGGAGGATTACAATAATAATATACTGCAACTATAACTGCGATTTGACTAGTTCAAGGTCTCTTTTGTATTGGAAATCCAACCGGTCCCAGAACGATTTTCAATGGCAACAGTAAACAAAACCATGGTTTCCTGTCAACATGGAACGGGACTCCGCTAAATATTAAATGGTTAAACTGAAAGGCTGAATTTTTTCCCACTTCTCTGTTAAACCCACCCATGATTGAACTGTTTGATGGTAAAAAACACCACTTTTGCTTCATGAAATCCAAACCACTCCACATGTTTCTGCGGGTAAAACCACCATTTTTGACCCTTTCTTGATGAAATCGATGGTTTTCGCAGATTTCTGCTGCGCCAGGTGGGATTCTTTCGCGCCTTCCCGGGCGCACGGCCATGGCAGCGAGGGCAGCCATGGCAACAGAACCCGGTCGCGCCGGCAGCGGCTTCTCGGATGCCGCGGCTCCCGGCAGAGCCAGGTGGGCCACTGTGAATGGTGATGATTTACCGTTGGTGATGATGGGATTTTACACATGGATAATGATGGGAATAATAATGGTTAATAGTGGTTAATAATGGTTAATAGTGGTTGATAATGGTTGATAATGGTTAAATGGATATAGTGGTTCATAGTGGTTAATAGGCTACAAACCAACAACAGTGGGAATATGATGGTGATCTGGTTGGTGGTTTGGAACATGGCTGGATTATGGCTTTCCATATATTGGGAATAATCATCCCAACTGACCTATTTTTCAGAGGGGTTGAAACCACCAACCAGAGATGAATGGTATTTATATAGATGGTTCTAGATGCATGATCTGATATGAATGTGAATTCCACTGTAAATTCATCTACTATTTTCTAATTGGGATGTTATAGATTGTTTTTTCAGTGGAATGTACCATTTTTCCGTGGAATGTTAGAATGATGTAATATTATATACCATTGTTCAGTGGAATGTTATAACCATGTTGTATGTTCTAGATGAATTCGCTCCCCCGTTTACCGGGGTCCCCGAATAAACACCTGGAAGAGTTTTGAGTAGGGGGTACTAAAAAGAACTATTTCTTTCCCTTTCAAAATCAATTAAATTCCTTTTTAATATCTAATTGAAATATTGCCAGCAATTGGATTTCGAAGGTTTCCCTAATATTAAACTAAACACCTTAACACAAAAAATCTAAAACTTTCAAAAACAACTATTTCAAAATCGATCAACTTCCTTTTTAACATCTACTGTAATTAAAATATTGCCAAAAATTTGTTTTTGAAGGTTCCCATAATATTAAATAAAAAACAACTAAAAAAATAAAAAAGAACAACAACATCGACTAAATTCTTTTTTACATCAGGTGAGATATTGCCAAAATTGGATTTCGAAGGTTCCCGTAATATTAAATTTTAACCCAATATAATTAAACAAACTAAAAAATCAAACAAACAACAACATCGATTAAATTCCTTTTTAACATCTAATCTAATTAACATATTGCCAGCAATTGGATTTCGAAGGTTTCCCAACATCCTTAGTAAGAAAAACATGCTCTTTTAATTTTAAAAGACGGACCCTGATAAAAACACCCCGGTGTTGACTAGTTTTTATTATAGGAGGTGATACATGGTGATACCCTCAAATGGGACCTTCATTTTTTATTTTTATTTTTTAAACCGGTGTCATAAACAACATGCACCTCAGCCCCAGCTATAACTATGCTTCCGGGGATTTGGGGATGTTCATGATGGTTGATGATGGTTGATGATTGTTAATCATGGTGAATAAACTGGAGGTGTCCTAAAATGCGGGTACCCCAAGTCACCATGGCTTTCAATACAAAATAGTCATGAATGACTTGGATGATTTGGGGCTACCCCTATGACTTTAGGACACCCCATAAGTTGGGACATAACCCCTATAACTACAGCTGTAATGGTAATCAATTTATTATGGTAATAATGGTAATAATCCATAACCCACTTATAATGGTTATCAAAGATGGCTTGCAGCAGCAATTCCCCATGAAATGCGAAGATTTGAGCGATTCCGGTCCATGGCGAGGCTGCGAAATCTGAATCAGTTGAACACGGTGTTTTTTACATCCCATGATTTAGGACCTTTTAGGATGGCTTTCTATCATCCCAGGTGCAGGATTTCGCAATCCATTTTTTTTTACAAACCAAGCGAGTTTTGATTTGGGACAAGGAAGAGGTGCGAGTGACTTTCAGCAAGGAACTGAGGAGAGGGCCCAACTAGACTGTGCTGTTCATCACAATAGTTTTGTTTATTCATTAGTATGAATTCATGTGTATCATGATAGATCATTATTGCAATAAATGTCTGTAAATTATTAGTATTGTACATTATTTACTGTTATAACATATTGCAATTGTTACAAGATCATGACTATTACTATACATTATCATTATGAGTATTATGATAAACATATTTGTAGTATTATTGTTGTATAGATTGTTATGTTTGATGCTTCGATAGATAAGGGTTGCTCCAAGCTATGGTAAATGACTGCCACTTTTGGAAAGAAAATGGTTGATTTACCATAGCTCGTATATCGCTAATTTCCCTGAGAGTCACGGATCCTTCAAATTCTCAAAATGGTTTTAACTCAAATTTGAGTTGTGAAGGGATTGCAATAACCATCCTAGTTGTTGTTTTGTTTTTTTCAATTAAAATTACATTTGCAGATGTTTTTTCAAGGGTTTTTGAACATGGGAGGTGTTTATGGTACAGTCATCAAATGGGTATAGACATAGTGAACATAACGCAGACATGAAACTAGGGTACATCACCCATTCATCTACATTATTTCATATAGTCGTATATTCATTATCCACTTCTTGGATCTCTGTGGAAGCCCACAGTTAGATACCCCGCAAAAAAGTTGGGGACCGATAATGAGGAGTAAACCACTCTTGATGGTGATTTAACATGTATTTCACTGGGGACGTAGGGTTGGAACAGGCTATGGGATATGCATGGAACCAGAATTTCAGAAGCCAACAGCTAACATTGGGATTTAATCAGTGGATAGTGGATATAGAACCACCACCCGTTCTGTGGCAATCTATTTAACTGCGATTTTTTTGAGCAAATGCAACTGATCAAAGGTAAGTAACCGGAGATTTTGGAAAGCATTGACTCGTCCAAAAAAACACTTGCAGCAAAGAGGGACTTGGCCAGCGGCTTCTGACCTTCTGACGCTGTTGCAACCAAGGATTCCACCATGTTTCCGATCTGGAAAAAGCGTCTGGTGAAACGTTTACGTAACTGTGGAAAGATCCACCATGCTGACTGGGCCATTTTCAATAGCTTTTTGTGAACGTTTACCAGAGGGTAAATCCCATTAAAAGCAGCATTTTGTTGGTTAAACCCCATTAAACCACCATTAAACCACCATTAAACCACCATTTTCCTATGGTTTTCCTATGGTTTTCCTATGGTTTTCCTATGGTTTTCCACCATTAAACCACCATTAAACCATGAAAATTAAAACATGACCACCATTGGATCCTGAGAATTTTTTTCATCGTTGGATGCCAGGCCTCGTGCCCATGGGGCAAGTGCCGGGGAACGTTCGCATCGGAGAACAGGGAGAAGTGATTTATGAACTTTGAATGCTGGCGGCCTGCTGGAGGCACTGGCATCGGATTCCCTGGAAGTCCGTGGAAGCGTTCAGAAAGCGAAGGGCAAATGGTGCGAAATGAAAAAAAAAGGGATCTCCAGTTGATGTTTTTTCCGGCACGGAGATGCAGGGAAGTCATCGATGATTTGACTCCAGGCAGCTTCTACCCAGGTTCTCCATGGGTGTCATCTGCCCCACCCATCACGGGTCGCTTCTTTTTGCGGGAAGTATGGAATTCGCGCGGTCGACGCAGGCTCGATCCGCGGTATTAATCGGTTGACTGTCAGGGCGCCCAAAAAGATCGGGTGCCCTGTCTCGAGACGTGAGAGGATTACCCCACACCAGTGCAGCTGGTTTTACAACTAGATTATATATTATATATATATCTAGTATCCAACTAGATTGCATATGTGATTAAATGTTATTCTTGAAGACTACCATGCGAAACATATCTAATCCTTCTCCGGACCGTCTAGACAATTCCCCCAAAGAGGCAAACCAAACTGAGGCGTTTAGTCCTGGATCTCGATCTATGTAGTACCCCCAAAGATATAGAACAATGAATCATCTCTATTTTAATGTTTTTCTTCTTTATTTTACTTTTCTATCTTTTTTGAGATCACCATTCATATCTATATATGTATATGTACATGTATAATATATACATATGATATAATGTGTATATATATATATACGTATACATATATGAAAATGATGTATATATATATATATCTTATGTATATATATATATATATACATAACGTATATATATATATACATATACAGAGGAGGCCCACACATGCGAAGCCTGATTTCACTTGACTTTCCGGCCCCAGAAATGGAACCTGAAAGCGCACATGTGGTATCAGCTGTCTCCGTTCCCTAGCTCCAATGCGGCGATTGCAATGCAGCACCACCCAGGCAACATTCACCAAACCGTCGCTACTCCGCGCTACTCCGCTACTCCGTGGTATGTTTTAATTCAATTACCCAATGTAATTGACACGATATCGAAACGATGGCGGAGTAAGAAAGCCTTCAATACTTCACCTTCTCACATCTTTCCCTAAGCAGATTCTTACTCCATTCCGTTTTAAATTAATACTATTAATTAATAACGGGATTGACTGAAAAGATCATAATTCATGTTCTTTGTCTTTCTGGGCTGAAAACTTCGGTAGGAGTCTAGAGGGGCAAGGGGAGCCAACAAGGGGTAGTAAAGTATTCAATACAATCATTCAAATGGAAGCCGACCACCTGCGCGAAAACCCACAAACTCCGCAACAGCAAGAAACACTTCAAGCAATGACCTAAGGCTGCAAAAGGCTGATGCGCCTTCGTTTAGCAGCAAACAATCAAGCCACCAGACGAAACAAAATAATAAGAAGCTACCTTCAACTGGGTTCAAGCAGCAACCGATATGCACCCCGCTTGCCGCAACAAGAAACAAAATCATCTACAAAACAGCTTGCTCCGACGGACCCAATTCTGGGTCCGGAAAACCTTCTCAAAATCGGCTTCGCTCAAAAGGGCCTCCCTAGTTGCCCTTCCGGTCGCCATGAGCCACAAAGCTTCATTGAAACCAAAACGTTGCGCTTCTGCAACATTGATACAAAAAACTTCAAAAAATGAACCTAAACACGGTCCCAAAAATGGGACCGCCTGGCGGTCCCATTTTTGGGACCGCATGCACAGCTTAGTGAAAGAACAAAAGAAAAGCACTTTCACGGTCCCATTTTTGGGACCGTCTGGCGGTACCAAAAATGAGACCGCAAAATCGCAAAATCAACAGCAAAGGCCGACCCGTGCAACAAACAAAAAATGACAACTGCGTTTAGTTGAGCAACAAGCATATAGAGTTGGAACAGAGGAGGCCCGCACATGCGAAGCCAAATTTCAATGGACTTTCCGGCCCTAGAAATGGAACCTGAAAGCGCACATGTGGTATCAGCTGTCTCCGTTCCCGAGCTCCAATGCGGCGATTGCAATGCAGCACCACCCATGCAACATTCACCAATCCGTCGCTACTCCGCGCTACTCCGCTACTCCGTGGTATGTTTTAATTCAATTACCCAATGTAATTGACACGATATCGAAACGATGGCAGAGTAAGAAAGCCTTCAATACTTCACCTTCCCACATCTGTCCCTAAACAGATTCTTACTCCATCCCGTTTTAAATTAATACTATTAATTAATAACGGGATTGACTGAAAAGATCATAATTCATCTTCCTTCTGGGCTGAAAACTTCGCTAGGAGTCTACAGGGGCAAGGGAGGCCAACAAGGGGCAGTAAAGTATTCAATACAATCATTCAAATGGAAGCCGACCACCTGCGCGAAAACCCACAAACTCCGCAACAGCAAGAAACACTTCAAGCAATGACCTAAGGCTGCAACAGGCTGATGCGCCATCGTTTAGCAGCAAACAATCAAGCCACCAGACGAAACAAAATAATAAGAAGCTACCTTCAACTGGGTTCAAGCAGCAACCGATATGCACCCCGCTTGCCGCAACAAGAAACAAAATCATCTACAAAACAGCTTGCTCCGACGGACCCAATTCTGGGTCCGGAAAACCTTCTCAAAATCGGCTTCGCTCAAAAGGGCCTCCCTAGTATATATTATGTATATATATATATGTGTATATATATATGCATTATGTATATATATATACACATTATGTATATATACATTACGTATATATATATGTATATATATATGTAAATATATATATATGCATTATGTATATATATATACATTATGTATATGTATATATATATATTTTATATATTATGTATATATCTTATGTATATATATATATATATGTATATTATGTATATATATGTACACTGTGTGTATATATATATTATGTATATATATATTTACAAATTATGTATATATATATATTGTATATATATATATTATGTGTATATATATATATATATTATGTATATATATATATATTACGTGTATATATATATATATTGTATATATATATATATGATGTATATATATATATATTACGTGTATATATATATATATTATGTATATATATATTACGTGTATATATATAATGTATATATATATATAATTTATATATATATATATTATGTATATATATATATATTATGTATATATATATTATGTATATATATATTGTATATATATATATATATACATTGTAAATATACGTGCATCTCCCCATTTCAAGATGATTAGACCATGTTAACCCCCCGTTTGATGCTTCTATCAATGTTTTCACCGGGAATGGATTGCTGATTCAAACGGTGACATAATTCTCCAATTCGCACGTCGATGGTTCACATCTCATGAAGCCGTGGAAATCTCTCGGCGATCGGATCTTGGCAGAGCTGTTGATGAACCACGTCTTGTGACAGCATCGATGGTAGATATAACGAACTAGTTAATGGGGGTTATAGTGGTTTATAAACCAACTTATAACTGGGGGGCCCCATCCTCTGGGAAACTTCACTTTGGAAGTTCTGATGTTCGCATAGCTGTCTGAATGTCAAACACAGTCTTTGTTCTGTGAAACACAAAACAGAGGTTCGACCGACTCCATGAGTTTTCTTTTAGGGGAGCTGTGATGCGTCCTATCATTCCTTAGTCATTTCCATCATACATTCCTTTTTTTAATCAGTGCTTCGCAAGATATCGGATGGTTCATTTTTCCAGTGATTTCTCATATACAGTGAGGTGCCGCACAGTAGCTAGCTTGGTTTATGACTATTGGTTTGCTATTGGGTTTATGAATCTATGGTGATTATAACTACATTTACATTGGTTATAGTCAAACAACCTACCACTAATTGGGCATGACTTTGATGACTTTGTAGCCACCTGCCTTTTTGATTTCCAAGATCCATTTCCCTTCAGCCGTGGCTGGATGAGCTCGCCGGATGAGCTCTGCGCGAGACCGACGGGCCATGAGGTCCCCGAACTGTTGAAACATGAATATATGGTTGGGGGGGAATCACATATCTTGGTTCAAGCATCAAAAATAGGATTTTTCACGGGATTTAACGGGATATCATCAATACGGATTGCCAGGGTACCCCCAAACTCTCATGATTTATCATCGTTTCCTTGTGAACTTGCCATAACTTGAGAAGGTACCCATCATGAAAACAGACACAGAAAAAAAACGGTGATGACCATCTGGACAGGCTGGGGGTCTCAGAAATCAGGGTATCTTCGAAAATGGTCTCAGAAATATTAGGATTATGATATTTGGAGCCCCGGCCCGGCTCCAGCGTTTAGTATCACCCCATCATCATCCATTTTATGGGGGTCGACCTCATGCCCCAGTGGGGTTTGTCTGGGAGCCGCAATCCCAGGGCTTGACCATGAAGTTTTTTTCAGACATGTTCTTGATAGCCATATATAGCCACAGTTCAAGTGGGCACCATTTCCCATCTGCCATACCCTCTGGTTATGTCAAAATAGCAATTGAAAATGGCCCAGTTGAAATGGTGAGTTTTCCCATTAAAAATACGGTGGATCTTTCCATAGTTATGTAAACGTTCAACAGAGGGTAGTTATTTCTCGATGGCCCTAGAGGTTCTTGGCTTTCCTCATTGACAAACCCATCAGACGTCACCGCTGCGGCCGCTGCGGGTTGTGGATGATCCAGTGGCGGAGCCCCCAGCTCACTCAAGAGGGTGTTTCACTGGCTTCAGACAAAGGCTCACATCTGCCTGGAAATGGGGTATACCCCCAAAATGACGATTTCATAGGGACAATATGGGACAATTGTGATCAACTATGGGATTTAGGATGCCGCTATGCCATTTTTAAACAAAGCCACGTAACATGTGGATTTTCAGATTTCACAGGTAGCCAAGTAGGTGAGAGTCTTCTGGGTCATTCTACCCTTGTGGCTGGAGCCAGTGCGGGGTGAACAATCCGCCGGCCCGTGCACTTTGCAGGGCCAAATTCAATGGAGTTTGTCTGAAAATAGGATAAATAG